CAATATGAGTAAAACAAATCTGACGGTTCTCTTATCATAGATTCTAATGTAACATTTAGCTAAGTACTGTTCTCTGCCTATTACCGAAAGTAAACTAATCATAGTTGACTTCTAGAGCTAGTCGCTGCTACACTGATCAAAAAGGTGACATTGACAAATTGAAATAGGTTTCGAATTAGTTTCAATTGTCGAAAGGCTGTTTATTTTCAATATATGAACGGGAAAAAACGCAAAGGATAATGTTAAAAGTTCGATTAAAAAAAATCTTATGATGAAAAAACGTGATGAAGGTTTGAGAAAGAAAAACAAATTTATTTTATGTTCGATTTGATAAAAAAAGAAAAAGAAAAAAAAATTAATCTAAAAAAGTTTGTTGTTGTTGAACAATTGAATATAATTATTTAATTAATTGATTAGCTTGAGATATGAATGTTAAATATTGATTAAAAGAAATTGTTTGATAATCATTCTATGTAATATGTTGATTTGCTGTTAATGGTGTCAGATTTTGAGAAAATTTTGAATATTGATTTTCATTTAATCAATTACATAAGTCATTTAATTGAAATTTATTTTCTAAAAAAATTCTTTCATCAATTATACAATTTGTTAAAACAATTTCATCATATTGACGATTTATATCACGAATTGTTTCCAAATAATTAAATTCATTTAAAAAAAAATCTTCTTTTTTTTATCAAGACGTTTAAATAAATCATTTTTTAAATGTTGTTCGATTATTAATCGACACATATCCGATGAACAACAATACATCATACATAATTTATCGATTATACTTCCATCATTTGAACATACATCATTTAAACAACAACTTTAACAAAAAAAAACAACACTTTTCTTTTTTTTTTTTTTAATATCTTTTTATTCAATTTATTAGATTTAGTTTAATTAAATTATTTCGATTATTATATATTTATTCGTTTTGAATAAATAATTCAAATTAGTTTGATTTTGTTGACATCAAATATCGATTTCTAATATAATAAACAACTCGAACAATAAATATTCGATTTATGAAACTCTACAGTTAATCTATCATCGTTTCAACGAAACATTTTCCATAGTTTAATTAAGAAAAAACAAGTAGAATAGATTGAATAACTCGTTTAATATGATGAAATATAATGTCTAATATGAATATAATTGATGAAAATTCTCAGAATATTTAATAGATATTTATATTTCTATCGTATATTAAGAATATATATTTATATGTGAATATAATCATTATTTGTAAATCTTATTTATAATTATATTATTAATAAATGATTATTAATCGATTGTTCATAGTTATAACTATAATATCGTTTAAACGATTAAATTTTTAAACATGATTTGAAATAATCGTTAATCATATTCGATTATTTACGTTTTCATCGATTAATAATCATATTGACAAGAAAATAGGTTTTTTTTTCTAAGTTATCGATATATATATTTATATTCAATAAAAAAATATTTGAAATGATTTTTATTTAATCATATATATTGATAAATCTCGAAATAAAATATTTAATTTAATTTAATTCTATATCGAACAATCGAAAATTGAATTTGTTTCAGATCTTATTTCAAAGACTTTTAAATAAAAATCCATATTATGAAATAGATTTTTATTTTAAAGAATTTCAACGAGTTTTAAAAAGTAAATTGACATAATCATAAATAAAAGAAAAAACTAGAAATAAGTAAATGAAATGAAGCAATCAGATCATTGATAGTTGATGGATAAATTGTTTTAGCTAATGCATATATTGTCCATAGAAGTGAATATAAATCTTGATGTGAACATTTATTTAATTTATTTTTTGTATTTAATTTAGGATTTATTTGATTTGATGCTCTTTTATATTGATAATCAGAATAATTTAATTTATATTGATTTTCACCAAATATTTCAATAAATATTTTTCTATATTTTTCAAATATAATTGATGATATATTAAAAACATGTTCAACACTTGATCGATTTCTTTATGTAATTTATCAAAAAAAAACAAATAATTCTTTAATGATTAGCACTTTTTAATAAACGTGATATTGATATTGGATTATT